AATCTGGGTAAAGGATTCGCATCGACATGTCTCCAAAATATATATACAAATCTCCAATAAGCCCATGAAAAAAATGTTCAGCATCACTTAGTGATCAGAGTCACAAATCAAAACCACAATGAGAAACCACTTAACATATAGGATGATTAGAATAAAAATATCGGATATGGACAAGTGTCAGGGAGGAGACGGAGAAAGGAGAACCCTCACAGCTGCTAGTGGGCATGTGAAATGGGGCCGCTGTGGAAAACGTGGTGGTTCCTCAAACAGTTAATCGTAGAGTTACCATGTGACTCAGGAGTTCTACTCTTAAGTATTACCCACAAGAAATGAAAGCACAAGCATTTATTTGCACATGAATTTTTATAGCAGCATCATTCTTAGTAGCTGAAAGGTGGGAACAACCTAAATATCCATCAGCTGACTAATGGGTGAAGAAAAAAAAACATATAAACAATGGAATATTATTCAGACATAAAAAGGAACTAAGCACTGGTATGTGGTACAACATGGATGAAACTTGAAAACATTGTGCTAAGTGAAAGAAGCTAGTCACCAGCTGTTAGATGGGACGGGGAAAGCGGATGGATGAAAAATGGTAAAGGGATTAGCTACAGGCACAGAACACAGTGTGGTGATGGCCAGAGGGAAGCGGGGAGGGGGCTGGGTGGAGGCAGGCAGGGGCAGGGGGGGCGGGAAATATGGACATCTGCAACAATGTCAACAATAAAAATAAGGAAAACGTATGTTATAATAAAGAAGAAGCCAGTCACAAAAGATCCCATATTATGATGATTCCATGCATATGGAATGTCCAGAAGAAGAAGATCTATGCAGGCAGAAAGATTAGTCATTGCCTAGCATTGGAGGTGGGAAGCTTAGGAGGTTGAAGGGTGATTACAAAAGGGCGTAGGGCTTCTTTTTAAGATGATGAAATTGTTGTAAAATCGACTGCAGTGATAGTCGCACATGTCTGTGAATACACTCACTCCTATTGACTATACTGCTAATATACTAATACCTTAAATGTGTGAATTTCAATATATGAACTGTTTCAAGAAAGCTGTTTAAAAAACGGTGCTGGGAGAACTGGACTCACATATAAAAGAATGTAAGTTGCATCCTTACCGCACACCACAGACAACAGCTCAAAATGGATTTAAAGACCTATGTGTAAGTGCCGAAACTCCCAAACTCTTCGATGAGAACATAGAAGTAAATCGTCATGGCTTTCAATATGGCAATGGGTTCTTAGCTGTGACGACAAAAACACAAGCAACAGAAGAAAAAAAATAGATAAACTGGACTTTAGAAAAATGAAAAGTGCCCTGGCTGGTGTGGCTCACTTGGAGTGTCGTCCCGTAAACTGAAAGGCCGCAGTTCCGTCCCTGGTCGGTGCATGTGCGGGAGGCAACCAGTTAATGTTTCTTTCTTCCATCGATGTTTCTCTCCCTTTCTCTCTCCCTCACTTCCCCTCTCTCTAAAACCAGTAAGCTTGTCCGGTGAGGATGAAAGCAAAAAGTTTTTGTGCTTCAACGGGTACCATCAAGAAAGTGAAAACAGGGATGTACAGATACATTCCACACATTGTTAACCCTGAAAATATGCTCAGTGAAAGAGTTTGCTGCTGGGCGTGGGTTTTCTTTTGGGGGTAATGAAAATGTTCTGCAATTACAAATACGGTTGCACATCCTTGTGAATATTACTAAAGACCACTGAATTGTACACCTTAAAAGGGTGATTTTTATAGTGTGTGAATTACATCTCAAAAAAAAGTATGTATAAGGAAAAGATAAATGCTGAAAACCAGTTACCATTTGGAAAATAATTACCCCCAAGCAACTTCTGCGATCTGAGATAGTGGGATATTTTATTGGTGATCCAGTTGTTTTAAGCTCCACAGAAAGTACTTAAGGAGATGAGAAGAGTCCGCTGTTCATTTTGCTCTGTTAGGAGCATAGGATGTGATTCAGTAGCAGTTTCTGTTTGCTTCTCTGAGCCTAGCAAAGCTAAGATGATGTGATCATTTTTATACCATTTGAAATAAATTAATTGCAAAGAAATGTTTTAGTTTACATAATTTTTGAATAAATTTTACTTATGTTGAACTGGTTTTATATTCACATAACTCAAAAACATATTTCAAAACCCAAAAGTTTCCCCTAATCCTCCTCTCCTGCCACCTTCTTTCCCTCCCAGGAGGTAACTGATGTTACCATTTTTTTTTTAAAAAGTGACTTTTGGGGGGAAATAGTATTTGTAAACTCATGTTGAGTTCTGTAGTTGGCCATTAATTTGACAAATGAGTATTTTAAAAAATTTTGGTGTCTGTAATTTTTGACTATCCTCATACAATGGGACCTTTATCCAAGGGCAAGGACACCCGCTAATGAATATTGGATATGTGTTATTGGACCTAAGACTTGTATTTTTATTTCTACTTCAGTTCTAGGTGATAGTATCTTCATAATAACTGTGTATTTTCTGCTCCTCTTCCTTTCCCTCATCACTGCTTTGGGTGACGGTTTTACTTAAATATGCCTGTTCTGCCTCTTACATAAAACTTGGTATTTTTCTATGTAATTTGCAACCTTTGCAAGATAAATGCAAGTTCTTTGCATTGAGCTAATGTATTTTTCCAAATAGAATTTTTCTTATAGAATTAAAAATATTTTAATTAACACCCTTTAGTTTACCTAAACATGAATAATCTATGGCGCTCTGAGAGAGGCCCTCAGATGTATATGTATTGGAGAGTCTCTTTATTTTTTCCTGAATAATTTGTTAAGCCCAATTCTGTGCTGCTTTTATCACTCCTTTCATACTAGCCTCTAAACAAAAAAGTTTTGCAGAAATATACTCTTAGTTGTTTCTAAAATTTTTTTCATTCATCTTCCTTGCTGTTAATTGGTTTCTTTTCTTTATTATTTAATTTTAGACAGAGGGGAAGGGGGAGAGAAAGAGAGGTAGAGGAACATCAGTGTATGAGATGTCTGTTGGTTGCCTCTCACACGCCCCCTACTGGGGAACGTGGCCTGCAACCCAGGCTTGTGCTCTGGCTGGGATTCGACAGGCAAGCAACTTTTCAGTCTCCAGGCTGGCTCTCAGTCCGCTGAGCCACACCAGCCAGGGCTGTCTGTTTAATTTTCTTTATTCCCTTTTTCACTCTTCTGTTTTGGAAGCTATATATTGTTTTCTAGTCTCCTACCAGTTATCCTTAAGGTTTTAACATGTGTTCTTAACAAAATCTAGGTTTTGTCTTTATATATACTGTGAAGAAAACCAAGGATCTTAGACTGCCTCAGTTAAAAAGTCCCATTCATATTATTGTTTTCTAGTATTTTGGGTCCACTGGTTTTTTTATGTGTGTTTGCGTCCGTGTTTGTGTTTGAATAGATAATACATTCTCATGGTACAAAATTCAAAAAGTACGAAAGAGACTAGATCTTAATTGTTCTTACCACAAATAAATGTTAAGTGATGAGACAGAGAGTTAGTGGTGGAAGTCACATTGCAATATAAAAAATGTATTAAACTGACACATTGTACATCTTAAACTATACAATGTTATAAGTCAGTTACATCTCAATTTTTATAAAAGGTATAAAAGGTTATACTGTGAAAATTCTTTTTCTCACACTTAACCATTCAGTTTTCCTCACCAAAGGAAACCAGTGTTTCCATGGGATATTTTAGGTTGATCCATATGAAATTGCCAATATTCAACTATTTTAATAAGCGCTAATGACAGTTTCATGCAGTTCAAACTGATACCAGTGAAAAAAACAGATTCCTGTTTTCATGGAATTTTCATTCTAGTGGGAATCGTATTAGTTAATGATTTCAGTGTCACAAATTACCCCAAAATTGAGTGGCTTAAAACAACAAACATTTATTATCTCAGAGTTTCTATGGGGCATGAATTTGTGAGAGGTATAGCTGTGTGATTGTGGCTCAAGGCCTGATAATGTTGTAGTCAATCTGTTGGCTGGGGCTGCAGGCATCTAAAGGCTTAACAGTCTGAAGGAAGTTTCCAAGACAGTTCACTCACCTGGGTATTGGGAGGAGGCCTCAGGTCTCTGCTGGTTGTTGACAGGACACCTCAATTTCTTCGCACATAAACCTCATGACGTGGCAGGTGACTTTCCCCAGATCTGGTGATCCAGGAGAGAGGACAGGGAGGAAGCCACAGTGTGACTCCTCCCTGCTCCTTGCAGCGCTCTTTAAGACCTAGTCTTGGAAGTCGCACCTCCTTGCTTCCACCATATTCTGTTTGTTGGAAGCAAGTCACTGAATCCAGGCCACACTCAAGGGGAGAGGAGTTAATTTCCACCTCTTGAAGGAAGGAATAACAAAGAATCTGTGAACATATTTTAAAACCATCACAGGAAGACAGATAATAAGCAGTGAACAGAATAATTACGGGAAACATCAGAATGCGGTAAGTTCTAGGAAAAAAGAAAAGCATAGCAGAGGGAAGGGGAATCAGCGTGTGTTTGTGGAAGTTCTGTGGGTTACGATTTAAAAGAGAGTGGAACGGTCCGGGGAAAGGCTCCTGGTTGCTGAACCCGCCCAGCTGTGGGTGCGCCCCGTATCAGGCAGCCCTACCCTGACGCAGAGTAAATCCCCAGGAGGGCATTTCCTGGGTTGTGAATGTGCAGTAACAGGTGTGAACATTCTAGCAGCAGTTTGGTGATCATGTATGATACTGCAAACAAGACAAAAAGAAGAAATAAAAGCGGGTGGCCAGTGTAAGACTCATTAAGAAGGTTAGGTTGTAAAAAGACGGTGAAGTTAGCAAAGCAAATTATCTGGAAGAAGCAAGCCCACAACCAAGAGAATAGCAAAAGCCAAGGCCTTGAAATGGGAGTAACATGAGGTGAAAGAAAAGAATACCAACTGTATTTTATTAGCAGTGTATTTTCAGCTGAGGAGGTGGGGTAGAGTTGAGGAAGTATTATTTCCACGGCTGAAATTAATGAGTTCATTTTCACTAATAGGAATGTAAAGAAGAAATCAAAATGGATCCACATATGCGTGTGAGTTCTGTCAACATCTCTGTGGAGGGGATGACATGCGGTTCCTGTGTTTGGACCATTGAGCAGCATATTGGAAAACTGAATGGTGTACATCACATTAAAGTAAGTTACTCCTCGGAAATTAGTGAAGTCAGAGATTTCAAAATGGATTTGGCTTCTCAGTGAAGTAAAGGGTTTACACTTCTTGTCTCTACAGTATTCTTGTCTGTGCTTCATAAGATCTTGAGCAAATTGACGTCAGTTTGCCTTGTTTTCATGACAAAAAATTGGCTCATTGGCATGTAGTGATTCTTTATGCAGTTTGATGCAAATTTCCTTCATTCAGGAGTCATGTGAAGTGCGGTGGCAATATGCGGGGAATTCTTTTCCATGCCTGAAACTGTAGGGGATTTTTTCCCCGTGTCTGAGTTTCATATTCATCTTGGCCAGAGAGGGCAAAATAAGCTTTGGATCCTTTCTCACTTTTTTAAAAAGATTTTATTTTATTTATTTTTAGAGAGAGGGAGAAAGACAGGAAGAGAAATGTCAGTGCCTAATTGCCTCTTGTACGCCCCCTACTGGGGACCTGGCCCCCAACCCAGGCATGTGTTCTGACTGGGAATCAAACCAGCGACCCTTTGGTTCACAGGCTGGCACTCAAGCCACCGAGCCAGGGCTCATTCTCACTGTTTGCGTGGTGGGAAAGCAGCGCTTCTTTCATCTGTTGTCTATACCACACACTCTGGTCAGCTAAGACTGTGTTGGTGGCTGTAGCTAAAAACAGTTTGTTTTTTTTTAACAGATGAGAAAACATTTTATTATTATTTTGCTATATAGCATAGTAGTGAATATACTTGATTGCATTTTCTCAAATGGCAAATGAGACACAGGAAAACACTTTTCTTTGATTACTGAAAACCTCAGTATCATCTGTGTTTTGGAGGATTCAATTTCTTACAACGTCTACCACTGGTGCTTGGTAGTAAAGAACATTTTGCTAAGTTGTTCTATCATAGGTCCTTGCTCCCAGTGCTCCTCTTTTTCTTCTAATCTGGTTTTCAGTACTTGATCTAGTGTTTCTTGATGATGATGCACAGGATCGGGCCGAGGGACAGGTTTTGTGTGTTCATACGAAATGTCCACAGAAGGATGGTAGCAAACTATCGTCCTGCCATCAGATGTCAAAGCAAGCTCTACTTTGCAATTATAGTCATCTGGAAGAGCAGAATACGTGGATTTATGACAAACACAATATAAAGGTCCATTTTGAAATGGAAATAAACGTTTCAAGATAGTTCTGTTTGGTACTGCCCATTTCCACTGCTGCTCCTGCCATGGTGAATCAAGATGCGTATCGGGTGGTATGGAAAAAGATGACTTGAAGAGAAAAAGCTTTTAAAATTTGCTTCTAGGCATACCTATTTTCGTCCCTTGACAGCTGCTCACCACGATCCTGCCATCTTGCCTCAATGCCTAAAAATGCTTTATTTACATAATATGATAAGCCTTCTGCAAAGTGTTGTGCCCATAGGAATACTTAGATATGAGTTTTCTCCACTTGCGTATGCTCCACAAGTAGGCTTTTCTTTTATATTCACCGTCTACCTGCACATAACTCCAGTCTTAGAGGCTCTTTACTGCCTCTCCCCACGCCCCACACCCCTCGCAAAGGTCCCGCTTTCCTTAGTTTGCTTTGGGGAGACCACCAAGTTGGAAAAGCTGAGAAATGACAGTATTTACTTCATCGAAGGTTTTGTCAAGCTACTTTGCCTTCAAAATATTCAAATTTATGAAAACCATTTAGTAATTTTTTTTTCACTAATTTGTACGCTATCCAGAAATTAGGCAGCTATTTCGCAGTTTGTTGATTTGAAAAGAGGATGGCCAAAGTAACTACCACCTTTGGTCCCAAAGCTTTAAAAACAAGTCATTTAATTTCACTGAGTAAGAAGTGTGACACCTGCATTTGATTTTATCCTCACATGAAACCAAGTAAACGTCCTCCAATTGACCTGAGGTGGCTGGTGCTGGGGGAAAGAATGGAAGCTAAATTTTACTAATTGTCTTAGCTAATTGCAGTAAAGCTACTCACCATCAAGAAACTAGTTCACATAATTTTTCTCCAAGTGACTTAGGTGCTTACTCTTTGTCTGGCAAACTATTTTAGATTAATACCTGTGTCGCCAACTTCTCCATGTGTAAATGGAGGACTAAATCCTGCTTTCACGTTTGCATGCACGTTCCTGTATAGAATTTTTTTTTTTAAAGCCTACTGCACTGCACTCGTCTGTAAGGCTGCTGTTTCTACTGCATCTTCCCAGAACTCACTTCTGTTAATAAAGCCGGTTTAAGATCAGAAAAACCATTTTGAATTGGATTAAGCATAAAGGAAAAGTAGCAGCGGTATAATGTGAAAGCACTTTGTGTTATCAACAGTGATTTATAGGGATCCCAGGGACAGATACTTGAGGCTATACTTTCCAGGGCACATTCACAATTTGATTGCTAAAAACAAAAGGAAGCACTCTTTCTCTGCCTTTTTCAGCTCAGCTCTGTGCCTTCGGTCAAAAGCCCATATGATATAGAGTAGAATTTTGACCTTTCTTCTTTTTTTCTTTTTTTAAAAAATATTTTCCTGGGCGAGGCTAGGATGAAGAGGGTAAAGGAGGTCAAAGGCAAGGTGACGAAAGGAGACTAGATTTTGGGTAGTGAGAACACAAGGGAGTACACAGATGTTGAATTATAAGTTGTAACCTGAAATTTACATGTTATCAACCAGTGTTACCCAATGATATTTAATAAAAAATATTTTACTAAGTGTTAAGTCTTCTAGGCCCAGAAAGAGATTTATTGTGAAGTTAATGAAGCTGAAGTTTCACAGCCCCTCACGTACAGCGACCCCTTCAGAGACCCTGGACGGAGTGTTAGCCGTGTGCTCACATGGTTACATGTTTCTGCAAAAGTAAAATATTTTAACCATAATCCTTTATGTCTGTTTTCTATTGCCACTTGGACTCACCCCGTTAGACATCCCCTTTGTGCTGGGTGGTACTGGATGTGCCGTGGGAATTTGGAGGATCTGACTGAGAGGAGGTTGAGTTGGGGATATATTTAGTTCGAGGTTAGTAGGATATTTAGCTATATATGGTTCTTAGTCATTTGTGTGTACAGTGACATTTTTGCTAGAAATTGTGGTATAGGAGCGGCTTCCAGTAATATTAATACCACCAACTCACCCAGTGTCATGGCAGAAAACTGTAGGACCCAATGTAAAAATGCTCAATGACTATTATTAATTCAAAGAATATTTAAAATTAATCACTGCACAAGTAAACTTTTCTGAAATGCCTTGAAACCTTTTAGCTCATATATGAAACTGGATAGTGTTCCTCAATTTGACGGCAGCTCCAAAAATTTGTCAATATTAATGTCATTGATGATGTTGAAAGGAACTTTTCTATACTCTCATTAATAAAAAATATTTTTGACCTGTGGGAAGGACAGTTATCTTTCTTTTCTCTGTGTTGAAAAATATTTTTACAAAAGCATTGCTAAATGAAGCAGCAGAGTATACAGGCAAAAATATAGGAAAATAAAATACTCGAGGTAAGTGTATCAGGCATTAGTATAAAATATTTTATTTTTATGGATTTTATGGTATTTAGTAGCTTTTAAAACTTTGTAAATTATAACTTTATGACTTATTCAGAATATTTACTTTTGAACTAATTTTTTTGGCCTTGGGTCATTTTTCTTAAAGAAGGTCCCCCAAAATGTTTACGTTCCAGTGGTTACAAAAGGCAGATGCACCTCTTTCTAGGAACCATACAGAAAATCGTCCATGTCCAAACATAATTTATAATCAGAATTTACCTCAACATGTTAATACATAAATATTGGTCGCATTTTAGAGAATGTCAGTGTTTAACATTTCTAGATCCTAGTTTCTGAGATGACATTTACTGGGACTGATGTGCAGTCAATGTAGAAACCAGGTTTGGAGAGGACATTGTTTTGGCTAAGTTAAGAAGTTCTGGTAGTATTTGGAATAAAACTGATATAAAGTAATGTAATTGTGATATTAAGTTGAGTGTGGTTGCTTTATTGGAAAAAAAAATGATTCGGTGGAACAGATTAGAGCTTTAACAGAATTCAAGGAGAGTGAATAATCAAGGAGTCTCTAGTTTTAGAGTAAGTAGAATGGATGATTATTTCTCACTGCAGCTTCTGCATTTAAATACATTTTGGGAACTTTGTCTTAAATTGTAAAGTTTGTAAGCGAGTGGAGCACTCTTGTTTGTTCCTGTCGCTGTCAAGACTGCAGACTTTAAAGGGATTAACCTGAAGTTTAATTTAATCACCCCAGTGGTCTGTTCAGGGGGGAAATGAAATAGGCTGATAATGTGAAGGTCTTTCTCTGGGATTGGTTGGCCTTTTTGAAAGTAGAAATGTAAAAACAAATTTAATTAGATATAAGTACTGAATGACTCCAAAGGTTAATGCTTTATTAGCAAATTACTTTGTCCTTGAAACTTAAACTGCTAAATCTGAGTGCTTTCTCCCTTTATGTAGATAAAGGCTTGCCATCCAGTCTGCTAATACAGACTATCCTTTTAAAAAATGACCACCCAGATGCTAGCAGTAATTCAATTCATCCCGTGGATCTATACGTTGTTTGCTCATCTTAAATTTAACTTTTCTTTTTTTTATTCTTGAAAAGGTAACACATGTACAGAGTAAAATCCCTCTCTCAAAGGAAAGCAGTTACCAGCTTGCTATGTATATATCCTTTCAGAAAGACTATAACTCTAAAATGGTTATACGTATATATGCATCTCTATATGTGTGTTTTTATATATATATCCCCTTTTATATAAATGGAATTATACTATAGATATTGTATACTATCCTGCACCTTGCTTTTTTTCACTTTGCAAATATATGTTAGATATTGTTCCATGTCGGCATATAGTGATTTTGATTTCTATTTGGAACTTTTTCTATTTCTTAATTTTTGCTATGACAAATGATAGTGTATTGAACATTGGACTTTCCTTTTTTCAATTACTGTATTAAAGTAATATAGGCATTTTGCTTAATTTAAATTCCTAGGTAATAATCAT